CTGGACACGGTGCTGTGCAGCCTGCTCTGGGTGACCCTGCTTCGGCAGGGGTTGGGCTGGGGGATCCCCAGAGGTCTTGGCACTCCCCAACCCATTTCCTCCAGTTCTTCCTCCCCATCTGCTTCTCCCCACGGCTCCCAGGGCAGATGCCACCCAGGCAGCACATCCTCACCGCCCTCCCGGGGCTGCTCAGCGCTCCCGGAACCCTGCCGAGGTGAAGGCAGGGGGGACCTGGAGGAAGGATGGCTGACCAGAGCACGGAGCACCTCGTGCACCACGGCACCGGCTCAGGGAGGGAACCGGGCACCCAGGTCCCACCGCCCGAGCAAAGGCGACGCGCACAGGAAGCGAAGCAAGAGCCCAGCAGCCGGTGGCTTTCCAGCAGGCGCTCTGCTGTGGACTGTCCCAGTCCATGCCCCCATGAACCCTCCTTGTGCGGGTTTCCCTTTCTGAACTCCTCATTCTGCCCTTTGCAAAATCCCGTGGCAGTCATCGTGTCCTCACGACGCGAGCGCGTGGGAACTCCACTTCCTTCTCTTTAACGCTGATTTCGTTTGGTGTTTCCTCGCCTTTACGTTTCAACGCAAACCAAATAATTCTACGCATTTCCCTTGTCCGTGCCATTCACAAGCAGACCTCTCCTCCCCGCCTCCTTCCCCGGCCGAGCAGCACGCCTCTGCTCGCTGCGCCTGGAGGTACCAGCAGCCCACTGCCACGAGGAACATCTGCGTCTCGGCCTGATTTTCTGAGCTAGCGCAGCAGCAGGAACGGGGATCTCTCACCTCAGCGACACCACTGACTGCTGCAGGGAACAGGGCCTTGTACTTTGCGCTTGCCAGATTAAAAAACAAACCACGAACAAAGCTCCTGCCTTTTCCAGCAGCACCGGTGCCAGGCAGAGGCAACCCCCACCTCCCGACCCCCCCGGCCACGTACACAGTTTTCATGAGCAGGTTGCAGAGACCAAGCAGCCACACAAACCAGGGTCTGGTGGCCTGCAAAGGAGCTTCTCCTTTGATGAAAGTGCCTGGAACAGCCCTGAGCCCTGCCTTTGCAGCCCTACCACAGCGGCCGGGGGTGGGATGGAGACCAGCCAGCACGCAGCGTGGAGGAGGAGGAGGAGGCACCAGCAACCACAAGCTGCAGCTCTGGGAAGAGCTGTGCATTCAGAGCACGGCCGAGCAAATATCTGGGCAGATGAAGCCCCCTGCATTCGGAGAGGTTTCACCCCCTTCCCTCCCTTGGGCTGACTCCGATACTTCCATCCCTCCACCAGCTGACTCCGCTCCGTCCTCCAGCCTCAAAACC